CAGGCTGCTAAATATATTCCATTACACCCTGTAACTGTGCTTAAACATGACAGCGGCCTTAACCCTTCGCACCCCCCGTGCCATGGAAGCCGCCATCATGCCGGTCGGCGCCCGCGACCTTCTGATGTCACACAAATAATATATTTTAGGGATGCACCAATATCGCTACTATCGGTGCAGATGCCGAGTATTTGGGCGAGTACTGGTTTTTGCCCAAATGCTCCAATACCTAGCCCGATACTTGGGCTTCCGGTATCAGGAAGCCGGGAAGCGAGTCATTACATGCTGCCCGGCTTCCTGATTGGGCGGGAAGCCGGCTCCATGATCCCTCATGTATTTAATCGCTGCCCGGCCTCCTGGTTGGTCAGGAAGCTGGCAAACAAGAAGCCAGGTGCCATGTAATGATGCGACGCCCGGCTTTCTGATTGGCTGGGAAGCCGTCTTCATGCTCCCTCGTCACGAGGGAGCATGGAGCCTGCTTCCCAGCCAATCAGGATGCAGGGTGCAGCATCATTAAGAGGCGTCCGGCTTCCTGATTGGCCAGCTTACTGACCCAACCAGGAGGCCGGGCAGCGATTAAAAACATGAGGGACCTATTGACCTATTCATCACCTAGTGACGAGAAGCATGGAGACGGCTTCTCTGCTAATCAGGAAGCCGGGTGGCGAGTCTTTACACGCGGCCTGGCTTTCTTGATGGGACTTCTGGTATCAGTATTCGGTATCGGCGAGTACCAGAAAAAAATATATCGGTACTCGTACTCAATATCGCGGCTGGTATCTGTGCATCCCTACTTTACAGCATTACAGCACACCTGCCTAAAACTTTTGCATCCCTAATAAATTTACGTGAGCAGACATGGCTTCCTCATCGTTTATTTAGCTTAAATAGGTAGGACAGTCGCGGGTGTGTGGATCGCTATTTAAAGAGAACCTGTCCCTTTTAGAATAACTGATGGCACTGGGCTATGGGCCCTGTATGGTACATGAGGATATCAGCGGGCCACCGACCGCCGGAGAGCAGGAGGGGGAAGAGGCTGTGGGTGTCGGTGTTCTATTGAAAGCTCTAACTCGTCGAAATCTCCAACTACCGTACTGGCAAGTTGGAGATTTCGACCAGGCACCGTTCGACTGCAAAACACAAAGACTGACGGAGCTTCTGTACAGCTGCTTTTTAACAATATTCAGCAGGTGGCAAACTCGAAGAAAATTCTGAAACCGCTACCGCAACTCTACAGAGCTCCAGTCTTTCTGAGCACCGGAAGTGAGGTAGTTGGAGATTTCGATG